GAGTATTAGTAGAGCTTATATATAACAACTAATCAAATATTTTTTATTATTTAAAAGATAGACCGTTGAAGAAAGGAAATATTTACCTTGAGAATGTTAACGAGGTTGGTTTCACTTGATCCAGTGAAAAAGCGAGCAATCTCAGAGACTGGGTTTTCATGGCAAAGAACGTCCCACTATTACATGCAAATTAAGCGTGGTTTTTTGTTAAAATGCGACTCAAGACAAACATTAAGAGAGAGGAAAATGCGAAATTAGAAGCTTTAATTAAGTACCAGGTGACGAGTATTGGTGTTGCTCAGGATGTTGAAGACTTGCAAAGGAGTGAAAGGCACAGAGAGAGAAGATGCAGCACTGATCACTAAACCGGGTGGTTGACCGTTCTCGTTGTTCAACCGAACCGAAACTCTGATTCCACCGTTCGAGTGTTGCGGAAAGTCAACTTTTCCAGACATAGTCAACATTTGGTTGAAAATCTTTAACATTCTTTCCCCTACTTTCATTACATTCCATCTTCCTTGTTCTGATATTGTATGATCTTTCAAAAACATTATAACTTTATCAAACTCCAAACTATTGTAGGTCACAATTAAACTAGTTTAACAATTTTTTTTAGGCGCAAAAGAGAAATTAAATCAAAAAACAAATTGACCTATGACTTTAGTGCATTTATTTTACATTTTCAGAACTTCAAAACCTGACAAATGTAAAAACATTTTTTTTTATGATATATGTAAATATATCCTAGTTGTAAGAGATTTATTAAGGGATAATGTCAACAGTTTGCGAAAATGTTATTTCTAAAATTTTAAATCAAAAAACTTAATTATCGAAAATGTATATTTAAATATAAACCGGTAATTGTTTTTTATATTATTTTTTACGGCGGTACATTCACATTTCTGGAAAAGAAAATATTCCTTTCATATGTCATTAATATTTAGATTCACAACTTTCTTTCCCAAACATTTTATGAAAATTTTATTTGAAAATATACCAACTACATTTTTTTTTTTGGTCACGATACCAACTACATATTATTTTATATTTTTATTTATATGTTTGTCAACACAAAGGCTAAAAATTGCAATTATCATAAAAATGAAACAATTAAGCACCACTCAATTCAATTGATACGGAAATGACATTTTTCTCCCACTATCAGAATTTGAAGTCATTAGTTAAGTTAGTCGTAAAGATGATTACTTACCTTCGCTCCAGTCAGTAGGGGGAAAGGTTCGAGTGGAGGAGAGAACCATCCTCTCACACATTCTCTCTAGCGTAACGATCCAACGCTTAGCGCAATAGCCTGAACGGCCGAACAAAAGGTCTTTATACATCTGATGTGCATTGGGTTTATCATCCACTTCCACATGCTCTATCCACATTACCTACAATATTTCGATAACATTATTCAGTAACATTCAAAACACACAATGTATACATTTATAAGGTATAGAAAGACATATGTGAGTTCGAGAGACGATGAAGATCAACCTCGGATTGACCATTGGGCAAGGCTTGAATGAGACAACCAGAAGGACGTTTGTAACAAGGAGCATTCACTAGGTCAAAGTTAACGATACTGTGTGACACGTCAGCAATAATCCAGAGCCCTTTCCCGATCTCTTGGCAGCATCTCACGATCATGAACTCTCTTGCTGACACTAGCGACGACAGAATGTGTTGTTTTTCCCATATCTATTAATTTCATTCACATTTAA